TGTCTACACACATACAAAAATCACCGAAGAAAAAACATACCTAAATGCTCTGAGAGAAAAAAAAACAATGCTTCAAAAAGACTATTTTTAAAAGCATTTTGAAGTAATGATTTTGCTTTTTTTCAAAGCAAATAGGAATCTTTTCCTCACAAAAGGTTACACGTATGTATAAATTCATCAATGCTTGTTGCCAAAACATTTGACTTTTTACTATTTTTTTCATTTCTGTGTTCATGAGGTTGCATTTGAGCTTGGTGCAGGAGGACATTCGCAAAGTGCCAGATCAGAAACAATGACCACCTTATCTTGTTCAAGATGCACTGCCGCCACACAAAATTAAGTAACAAGTAATTAAGCAGCACCACCCACAATCTCCAATATACAGAATGTATTTTCCATGTAATAATTTTAAGCAATAATCTGAAGGTCAATCAAAAAACACCCCCTTGATGTGGCAATTTTGTTTCATGTCCATCCCACACATGTCTACTGTTTGAGCATCCACTACGTCGGCAAAAACTCGGCCATGGCAGTGTCGCTCAATCACTGCAGCAGCAATCCAGAAGTTTTGCCACGGCAGCTTACCTGCAACACTGTCTTGGCAATGAAAAATTTATGGCAACCCTTCCCCCCCCTCCCCCCCGAATTATTCATTCTGGAAAATTTATGCACCTTCAACATTTGCATTGCCACCACATCCTCCTTGGCTTGAGCTACCTCCAACCTCTGACATTGTGGTCGACACAAGTTATCCGTACATCCGCCCTGATATGCACTATATACTACTCTCAAACATTCAACAATTCCACTAACCTGAAGAACCCCTGAATGTGTATCCAGGCTCACAGTCACAGTCATGACGCTGGATCCTCCCACAAGAATTAGTTCCATCATCAGCTGCCCCTCCTTCCATGCCAATTCCAGAACCAAGTGCAGCAGCACCTCCACCTGTACAAAAGGAAAGGACAGTTTTTTCAAAACAAATAGCCCTCAACTAATCAAAGCTGGTAGACACCGTGACATGCACCGGCACCACCGCTAGCTGAAACATCTGAGATGCTTATCTCTGGTTCACCCACCCTTTTGGACTCTGTCGCCACCCTTTCCAGTGCCACCACTGTATTATAACCTTGCTCCTTGTCACTTCCTGAGGATGAAGCACATTGCTTGTCAATGGGTTGGTCATATCGATAACACAGACTCTTTTCACGGGCACTCAATTTTATATTACCAGCACGACGCGCACGAAGGTCATCATCCCCACTTGCCATGCTGTGATTATCACTTGAAGTGTCTTCGGTTTCTGAGGTTTCCGATCGACAAATCGTTTCAACAATGTTCGAGAACCTCACTCTCCTCCGCTTTTTGTTGCCTCTTTCTGACTTCTTATTCCCCTACCGTCTCCAAGACCACTTTGGCAGAACCCATGTTCCCTGTCTCGAAGGCACCACCAACATACCTCCGTCCTGTGAACCACATTTAGGCTGTGTTCGGGAATCCTCTGCTCCTCCGTCAGGGAGCGGAGCGGGCGGAGCACCACTTTCGCCGCTCGCTAAAATTGAACTGGGTGCCGCTCCGCTCCACGGCGGAGTTACAGAGCGGAGTGATTCCGAACGGCCCCTTATTTAAGTATGTATTTCAAGCACATTTCAATTGACAAATTTATACCACTGTTGACTAACCTACAATTTTTGCCTGCCAGCGACGATTACTGTTTCCGGCAGCCACATTTCTCCCAACAACTCCACCTATGATCGACACAATACCTATGTCAGCGACATGATTGGGAGAATTGTGTTCTTGTCTCTACCACTAACTTAATATGAACTGTACGACATAATACTACTTTTTTCAGTATCATACCTGTCAAAGCACCCTCATCAAAGATCTCCCCAATCAGGAACCAGTTGTAACCATTAGTACCATGCTCACTACTCTATATTTTTCAAACTGAAATAACAAATTCTTGTTCTCTTCTCCTCAATAGTTCTCTCCCGAGTCTGTCGAACAGAAGCATCATATACTTCTGCGCAAACATATCCATTAGACACCATCACTCCTTTATGTGCTCATTGTTGCACATAAAACACCTTCGAAATACGGCTTTGTCCATTTCTTTCTGATCTCGAGAAGTTGAGTCATGTATGGGCGTCTCCATAGGTTGTATTCATCCAACATCATCACCCACCCATTCTCAAACCCATCTACCGTGAGCATGTAGTTCACCACCTCATGGGACTCTACTTTGAATTCACTCTTCTTGGTGTACAGAGGGCCCAACGTTTACTTTGCGTTCTTGAGCATGTGACACTTGCACCGCCAGCATGTGGTGTCTGGCATAATGCTCTTTGATAGCCAGCTCCATAGCCTGAATAGGGTCTGCAAAACACACCAGGAAAGCAAGAACTTACCAGTAAGTATAGTCATCAGAGGAGCGCCGCCCATCACTCTAAGAAATTCTGAGAAAACATTCAGAACTCTCAGTTGTCTCATCACAAACAAGCACCTCTGCCAGGATGGTACTCTGGAAATGACTATTAACACCAACAATAGCCTGAACATCATTTCGTACAAATTAGTCCAGTACATGGTGTCAAATGTTATCACATCCCTGAAAAATGTGTACTGCAGCTTGCTGTTTCCACTTGCCCACATCAGGTTGTTAATCCCGCCCTCATTGTCAGCCTGAATTTTGTATGTGAAATGCGGATCCTTGGCCCCAATTTCAGCAAACACCTTCATCATCATCGACCTGCTCCCTATTTATCTTCCCACGGAGATTGCGCAAAGACCTTTTGGTGAATGGCACATTCTCCATTGATCCAAAGAAGTTCCCTATGATACCATACACCTTCGCAAGGTTGGCATTGTTTTGCCGCAACTGTTTTATCAGATATATATGCTTGTGCCATGGCCAATGCACCATCTCGCCAAAGTTTGGTGAAAGGGAATGGTTGTGGCTCTCCCAATGCTCTGTGATGTACCACCCAGCGTCTGACATTTGCAACGGCAAGACCTTGTGTTCTTAACACCAACTTTACCCTGCATATGTAATCAATATTTTTAGAATGCAGAAACTACAGAATAACTGCAACTAATAATAATCGGATTGACGCGAGTTGGGCAGGGTGGTCTGCTCGGTGCGGCAGCACCTATCCTCAGCCTGCAAATGCAGCCAACTCACATATTAAGTGCCTGAATTCAGTAAGCAGTATTTTCTCAATTAAACTGTCTGGGTTCAGTAAGCATGATTCTGTTTATTGACTGCAAATCCCTAGTTGTTCTAAAGCCATGATTTATCCACTCATCCAAACTTTTCTGTAAATCCCTAGTTTACTCACAGCAAGAACAATTCTAGCACTAAGCTAGTTGTTCTAACGCAGCCAACTCACATTTTAAGTGCCTGAATTCAGTAAGTAGTATTCTCTCAGTTCAACTCTCTGGATTTAGTAAGCATTATTCTACTTATTGACTGCAAATCCCTAGTTGTTTTAATGGCACGATTTATTCACTCATCCCAACTTTTCTGTAAAATCTCTAGATTACTGACAGCAAGAACAATTCCAGCACTAACCTCTTGTTCCACACAGTCACCACCTGCGGATTCATCTTCCCAACTGACAGCTCCGACGTCGGAGGCGAGCTCTCCCTCCTATCCGCCGCCGCCTCCTTGGCCGCGAAAATCTGAGCGTCTGCGCTGTCCACCGCCTGTTGCTGCTCCGCCACCTCCTACTCCTCCACCATAGCGCCTCCCGACGGCGCTTGCGGCACAGGGACCGGCACCAAGCTCTCGCCTAAATCTGCAAGGAGAGTGGATCTGATCCACCACAGACAAAATCCTTTCAGTCACCATAGCCAGCCGTCTAAGATTTGCGACGAAATCGCCAGACAAGTGAGGATCTACATACCCCTCGATTGGCTGCATCAGGAAATCCATGGTGCCTCGCAGCCGCCGCTCTTTTTCTCTACGCTGCAGGCCTGAGCTTCCAAATGAGCACCGCTCTAGGCAGAGAAGATACTGGACCCTGCATTCAATTTCCGCCTGTACCCACCGAACGGAAAGCGAACTTCCCGACGGATCAGACGGGCCCGCTGATTCTGATCCATGGCTCACCTTGTCGGCGGTGAACGGACGTAGGCTTGCCCGTTAAAGAATGCTATTTTAATGTGCCAACATGGCCCACCACCCACCCCTGCGACGTACGTATATCTCCACAGTGCGCATTTTCTAGCAGCCCACCAACGCCCGTATAAACAAATGGCTCAGATCCAGATGAGCTATCGAACGAACTGGATATCGGGCTCATTTGAGCTCGTGCCCAGTTACTCCACGTCCCTTCCTTATCATCTTCTCCAGACGAGTAAATTGCACAGAATACCACAATTAAGGTATTGGAAGCAGATTGGTATCAAGATTGGTAATTTTTACGTGTCAGTACCAACTTTGGGACGAGGCGTTGCAAAAGAGGCTAAAACTGTTGTTTATACGTATTGACAGAGAAACTGACTGGTTGGGCTCGCCTATTGGGTGCTGACGTGGCAAGTTTTTTGCAGAAAACTCCCTTACTTTGTGTGTAATCACGTAACGTTTGCAAATTTGCGTCGGTTTGAACAAGTAAATAAAAGGAACAAAAATTGAATCCCGGGCAGGATTCGAACCGGCAACCTGCGGTACAGCAGAGCAGCGGGCTAGCCACCCCGCCACGGCAGTTGGCCCCACCGTCGGCCCAACGTCTTCAGGATAGTATAAATAAGTTCTCGCCTCTTTTACATCGTGAGCAATTTGGTCGAGTTTTCTTAGAAGTAATTTATCCAAACTAATATAATAATATATTATTTTACTATCCTCATTGTATTGATTTGTTAACTAACGATTAAATGCATTCATAAAGGTACCTCATCGTAATCCGATGATATATGGAGTGAAAAAACATGGGAGTTAATTAAGTGTGCTTTCTCCAAGAAGAGCCTCGGAAGCCGGCTAATCACGACAACCCGCAATGTTAGTGTCTCTGAAGCATGTTGCTCTTCTGAGGGTGATATTTACAGAATGGAACCCCTTTCCGCGGCTCACCTCGTCAACGGCGGACGGGGGTCCCCCTGCACGTCAAATTCGCATATTCTAACCCCGAAGCATGGCCCACCACCCACCACTGCCTCGTACGTATTTTTCCACAGTTCGCATTTTCCAGCAGCCCACCACCGCTCGTATAAACAAATGGCACTGATCTATATGCACCAGCGAACGTCGTGGATATCGAGCCCATTTGAGCTCGCGCTCAGTTACTCCACGTCCGGGACACTAGTGCTAATACTAGTGTTGACCCTCGCATGATGGCCTTGTACACAGATGTGACAGAGCTCGTTGGCATTGAAGAAACACAAGACAAGTTGATCAATATGTTGATTAAAGATGATGATTGGTCGAAGCATCCGTTGAAGACGATCTCTATTGTTGGATTTGGTGGGTTAGGCAAGACAACTCTTGCCAAAGCAGCATACGACAAGATCAAATCACAATTTGATTGTGGTGCTTTTGTCTCGGTTTCGCAAAACCCAGAAATGAAAAAGGTTTTGAAGGATATTCTCTATGGACTTGACAAGGTCAAGTACGAAAACATACATAATGCAGCGAGGGATGAAAAGTATCTCATTGATGACATAATTGAATTCCTTAATGACAAGAGGTGTGTGCATATGCTCTTTCTTCTTTTACAACCCGATTTTCATTTCATCTAGTAAAATAATGACATCGTTTTTATACTAGTGCATATGCATCTAGATAGCATATTGTTAATTTATACTTTTCTTGTAAATTCCTATAGTTATTATATAAATCATATCATGTAAAAATTAGGGAGTTCATATTTTTAAGGTAATTGAAAACTTCTTATTCTAAGTCGACG